TAAGCTGTTCCACAGGAAATAAAATCACATCTATTTGACAAAATACAAAGTGCTGAGAGCTAAATATCTCTTTCTTATTAAGAACTGTTCACAAGACAACATATATAAAATGACATCCTGTAATTTTTCTTGTAAATTAGGCTTTTTAGGCTGCATATATATCGCCCAAAAATTACTATGGTCAGATTTAGTTTGTCATATATAATCCAATTCAATAATCCATTACAATACAATCCACTGCAAACATATATGACACTAAGTATAAAAGAGACTTTCGAATCAATTTTAAAGAGTACTTCTGGCCTAGAGATAGACAATGTTACAAGTAAATACATCAGGTTTATCCCAAGCAGCTTTTAAAAAGTAAATACCCTCAGATTTATCCTAAGGTGTTTTTTAAAGGTGGTTATCTGCCACAGAACTAGAGGAATCAGATCACATAATACTAACTGACTAACTCACCCGATTTCCTCAAAATGAGCTTTGAAGAGAAGGATGGCCTTCTTTTAAATACCTGAGGTACGGTCGTGGAATATTTTTAGAAAAAAAAAACAACATTTTTTAGTTCCTTCTTTATCAGGAAGATACTGAGGTCAACATTTTGTGAATTCAGTGTTATGATTACCACTTACATAAACATCAGTTTTACCAGTATGGTATCAAATATCCCTACGACCACGATCAGCAGTATACAACAGAATTAACTAATGATCAGTGAGTCCTCAGGAGTCAAAGCTCTCTCAGAGTAATACCTCAGGTGCCATACTTTTGGGGCACAGGGGTAAGTGAGTGAGCTTCATATTTACCCTGAAAAAGGTCAATTAGCGTGGAACAGTGAGAACCAAGAAGCTCTAACACATGAAGAAGAGAAGTGCTCTATACAGGACATAGACCTGGACCTGTTGGAGACACCAAGTAAGTGTAGGTACAAAGGGCAGTGATCCATAAGAAAGAAGTTTGATTTGCAGCACCATTCCGTTTGATCCAGTTCAGTACAGAACACTTGACAGGCAAGCAACTCCAGTTTAAATGATTACCTAAAAGATTTACTGCCTGTAATAGCTTCAAATAGTTACAGGACTTCCTCTGCTTCACATTCACTCTTCTCATAGAGGAATACTCAAATCCAGATGCACAAGCGGAGCATTAATGTACCCTCAAGTATTGCTACATCTAGTGGCCTTTTTGCTAAATAGGAAAGAGGGAGAAAACAATGTGATTTGAAGCCAGTACTCAACACCCCCTATGAGGAAGATGACAGATATAGTTGCACGATTTTTTCATTTATTAACTCCAGTTTCAATTTCAGCAATGCTAATCTGGCTTTTTAAAATCCAAACCACTAGTTTAAAATTCATCAAGAATGTATCATATCTTATCAAAACTTACTAGGACTAACAGTGGAGAGGAGGCTAAAAGAAGGAGTGGTCGGTTTTTTTCCTTTCCTTGCAGGGCCCACTAGCAATCTTTCAGGATTCCTTTTCTTACACTGGTTTATCAGTGGACTCTGTGGGGGAGAAAACCCCAAACACACAGAAATAGTAAGAAAACCAATCTTAAGTAAGTTTATGGAGAGTCACAATATTTTGAGCAGGCTGATGCTTCAAAGAGAGGCTTTAAAGCACTTTGAAGAAAACTTCAACTGAGGGTATTAGATTTGCTATTTAGGAACTTACAGATACTCCTATCATTTGATTAGCTATGAAGAATTTGAGTAGTCTCCATGGATTGGCTGGTACTGGTATTTGAACAAAAGCCACTTAGAAGAAGAAGACCGATAGTTAAGAGGAGAAAAATCTAGTAAGTTGGAGAAGACCCTTCAGAGCATGCATGCATACACACACAGCTCATGTTCTGCCACTACGTACTTCCAGGATTCTCCAGAACACTTCCATTTTTTCTTGGGTAAAGTTCTCCACTCTGATAATGAGTAACCTATAAAAATTTTAAGGATAGCTTTGAAAGCTTCAAGAAGCTGTCTTGCAGAGGTCTTGCTTGAAAATGACTTAGACAACCTCATGACATTTCTTGTGTGCAACCAACTAGCAAGCTGAATATATGGAACCAGCAGCTGCCACAAAGATCTGTTGCTCTAATTGACAGATTTACCTATACAAAGATCATAGGCAACCTGCTATTAGTTTATCTTACTAAGAGCCACCACAGGACTTGCTGCTTAAAGAAGATCTGCTGCCAAATGTCTTCTCTGCTAATACCAATAAGCATGTCTTCTCACTCTCAGGTCATGAAAAAAGTGACTGACTGCCAAAGGAGCTACAGTATTCATTTATGTTGATCTCTACATAAGGAGGTGGGCCAAAGAGAATTTTCAGGGAATTCTGGTTAGACTGTCTTTTGAAAAGGTAGCTACAATAGAAATAAGCGGATAGTTTTCAGAGATGGATATCTAGAACTACAGAAGCAAGAAACCCTTAAAAGATTTGGGCTAAGGATTGAAGAAACAGGAGCAATGACACCAGAAGTGGTAACTGAATAAGCTTTATATACAAACAGGCAGCATAGTCAGTGTTTCAGCATTCACTTGAATATCCAATACTGATATATTTACAGTCTATGTACAGTAAAGTTTGCACACCTGAGTATGAGAGAAGGCGAAGACAGTGATACATGTAGGGATTATTTATGTAAGGAAAATATAGGCTTTATCTGGAGGAAAAGAGAATTCAAATACATCTGCAAGGCTGCATTTGTCCAACAATTGTACCTCAAGTGACAGGTGCTCCATATGGTGCAGGCTTTATTAAGAATAAAGTTGTCCAGCAACTTCAGTCCTCACCCTGGCTTCTCTAATTTATCTCAACAGATCACATCAAGAAAAGTATAATTTCTTTTTGAAAACCAAGCAAAGATTGTACCTATTAATATTTATAGTACAGCTAGAGAGTAAAACATTGGAATGAGCTGCATTCTATGTTCAAACAAGATGTGCATGTGTGTGAAGGACACACACACGATCAATGACTGGAGTTCCTCCACACTTTTAGTTACTAATACCAAGGAAATACTGATAATTGTATGATGGAAATCTGTGTGTAAAGAAACCAGATCACTGGAAATTGTTTATGAAAGCTGTCGATTTGCTTAAGATTCTGCAGTAACTGACAGCATACTACCTACATTAAATTGCTTGGTTACAGATTTTTTAATGAAAATTTTACTGAAAAGTCACTCAAATTTTATATAAAAACAACTGTAACAATCTGTTCTCTCCCTTCCCTAAGTCTCTCACCTATGTCAGTCATCACTACTCAGAACGATGACAAACCAGAAAACAGCTCAAGGCAGCATTTTAGCTCGGAGAAAAGCAAGAGTAAGACACACCAAGATTTGCTTTGCTAGTAGATATATAAGGTTAACTATTCCACATACAATGCAAACAGAGCTAGCATTTCTTCCAAATGAAGTGTGTCAATACAGAGTAAGAATAGTGTTTCAAGTGTCCTCTTCCAAAGACGCACTGTTGCAAGCAAGGAGAAAGGAGTTTGACTGAAAAGAATGCTGACACAGTGATCAGCAGACGATGATTTCTTGAAGATTTTGCTATAGCTTAATCCGTTAGAACCTATCTTAAGGAGGCAAAGATTTAACTTGGGTAGATTTGAAAATAGTCTATTCTGCAAATCTTTACTGGATAGTAATTTTCAAGAGACAAGGAATGAATTCCTGAAGATTTCGGTCACCATGTGTTTGAAGAAAAGATTCTGGAAGAAAGAAAACAGGGAGGAAATAGGCAAGCATGAAAGGGTTTGGAATCCATCAAGATATGAATTGCCAGGCACCCATTTCTCTTTGCCACAAAGGTGCCATAACTTTCATATGCTTTGGTGATTATTACTGGTTTAGCAGACATGACCAAAAAGAAATTCCTGACACACAAAGTGTAGTAGTTCAAAAGGAAAACCCGAAGGATGTGAAGAGAATCAATAGACACATGCAATTATGCATCTTTTAGATCTGAATGTGATACACTTACATGGCCCCTGTTGAACTTCACGGGACCAACAGTGAGGTTAGCTGAAGCCTTCAAATCTTGCTAAAAGACATCTCAACAAGATGATCCAATACGGCTCGATATTTCTTCTTTTTCTTTCTCACCTGAATTTAGAGGATGCAGAGTCTAAATTCCTTATGTTATTTCTTACAAGAACAGCATTCAAGGTGTTTGAAAGTGCAATATTAGAGACAGCTTGAGTTTCAAAGGAAATGTTGTTAAAAGTTAGTGACATACGAAGTGTACAAAAATTTGAACATGCCTCTGCATTTTCTTCTCATCCTGCACTTCTAAAATAGAATAAGGTGTTTCAATTTGATAGTAGTAATGCTATGACTCAAAAAGTACAAGTCAGACTTAAAAACAATACCTCAATCCAATATATACCACATTATCTAGCCAATCATTTGTTCATTAACTAGATTTCCATTTCTTCTCAGCTCCCTCCTCCCCATAAAAAACAAAACCAAAAAAGCATTGTGTGAACAGGTGATCTGTCATTGATATAAAGAAAAGCAGCTAAAGGAGAACTTGGTAAGATGACTTTATGTTACTGTGGTTTGTATTTATTATAGTATTATAGTGAAAAAGAGGGATTTAAAATACAATTTTTTATTGATTTTCCAAAAAGTTCTTCTATATAAAAGATATTACTTCTTGATGATACCCATGTATTTTATAAAAACTTCTGTTAAGAAGCTGAACATGATTTTGTATTTGAGTCCAATTGTGACAGTACAGCATGTATCTGAATTTCAAAAGGAATATGGTAAACAAATATGAATGAAAGTTTGCATTAAGAAAAATTAATCTCCATATGAACTGACTTATTTCTGTATTTTTGTTATTATATGTATTGCACACATTTCTATAAGTAACCTTCAAGATAGGAATTTTCATCTGTAATTGAAGCACAGCTGAAAACAAGCACATTTTCAACTTGTTTCATCTTTATGAGCAGTAACAATGGAAACAGACTAATTCTTACCTGTCGTGGCTGCTCTGTCACTCGCTGTGGATCAGATCGTACTTTGTTACTAGGATGATTGGTAACTTTGGTGACAGGTTGCTTGAAAATTGATGCAGTTTGTCTGATCGGTAAAGTTGTATTTAAGTCTGGTTTTCCCTGTTTAAAAAAAAAAAAGTGAATTAACAAAAATTATACATAACAATTACAAAAACTAATGTCGGATTCACCCTCTTCTACTGATGTGCAAAAAGAAGGACACGTCTCTGGAGTTAAAGATTTTCCTTAAATGCTGTACTTAACTAGGCTTTGCAGTCATCCATTTTAAAGTAAAAAAAAGTAACACTTAACTGGTTCCACACATTTTCTCATTCTCTGGAAGAATCAAAATTGCTTGCAAGTCCATCTTTTCTTTTGTTAAAATATATATGTTCATTGTTCGAGTGACTTACATTCTGAAAGAGACAGCTTCACCATCAGATGTTAAAATGAAATCTCTAAAACTTCATGAAAATATGTTTGTAGCCAAGAGTTTATAGAGTCCAAAGTCTTAAAGAACAGCAACTTCCTACATAACTTGGTCACAAATTTCCTCAGCAATTCCTGCATCAAACAATTCTTAATTAAGTGCAGCAATTTTTTCTGGAATGAAATTAAAACTGTATCAACTTTAAAAAGTCTTTTGGCAAAGGTAGTTTTTATCAGGTTTGTGGACTGATGATTCCCAGGCATCAGGTATCACTTTACCAGTAATACCTTGTCACACATCAAACCCTTCGGCCCTTGGAGATACTAGTGTCTGAACCCCTCTCCGCAGCAACAACCCCAGAAGTATTTAGGGTGGGGGAATGGACATCTCCCATAACCCCCAAGACCGATGAAGAAATAAAAAGATATATTATCACCTGCACACCATTCCAGCGTCTCTAAATCTGTCTCTCTATCCAAAAGCAGACTGCCAGTTTGAAGTGCTGTGCCAACAGAAGAGCACCTTACAGCTTTTTGTTGATAATCCCATTACCTCCAAGTCCTGAAGACATACTTCCAGTCTTTTTGACTCTCGCATTTTGTCTGGTATTTTTCTTAACAACTGAAATAATTCCCTTTTCTTCCCCAAGGTTACAAAGGTGTGACTGAGAAGACATATGACTATATCCACACAAGAAAGACACTGAAAATAAATATCCCATAACACATATTCTCCCAATGAACGTGTATCAAAAAGCCTGTTCTCTATTTTGCAGAACAGCACTAAGAACTTCAACACATTTATAGCCATACATAGTTTCTGACAAAGAAAAACGGTTAAGTTTTTGCTTTTTAAAATTTTATTTCCACTCATTCAAAAGGATGAAAAATAAGTTCTTACATAACATTTCAGATCTCAAAAGTTTTATAATTGGCTGTGAGATCATAACTCAAAAGTTACACAATTCACCCAAGGATCAGGTTAAAAGAGTTTTTCATTAGGATTTACTCAGACTCCTGATTTTGTGACAAAAAGCAATCTCTTGGGCTTAGAAATGGGAATTAAATCTCAATCTTCAAATCCTCCATATTTAGATTACACAATTTGGACTACACAACTTCATAAAAGAGTCTATGTTAAGAACCAGTGAGCACATGCCTGTTTAAAATCTTTCATTCCTAAGCTGAACACTCTGGAATTTCAGATGATGGAAGTTAGAATACTGACTATAGATATTCTGTAATGATCTGTATAAAAATGAAATTAAAAATATGGCGAGAGGCTTAGGCTTATTAAGCAATAAGCCTTCTCTTCACTGCATCCGTCTCAGATTAAATTCTTATTTTAAAAGTGTGTATCACTCTTTTAGAGCTTTGCTCGAGCAATCTGACAGGGTAGTTCCTCCATCATCAGAGTGTCTTGTACTTTAGCATACCTCTGTTACTGCAAGGTAGATGGCTGATGAGAAAGGGAATGTGAAGTCATTCTTCCTATACGTGTACAGTGCCTGATCTATAAACTAGTAATAAAGAGAATATCGTCTCTGCGCTCCACAGAAAGTAATTTTCATTATGAGACCGTTCTACAGGCAAGCCACTTAATCCCAAAATACATCCTTACACACTGCAATGGTTATTACATTGGCTGCTCCTATCCAACTATTTGATTCATCTGTTGGGTGGGGGGAGAGGCAAGGGAGGACCCTCTTTCTATAGCCTCCCCAGGATGACACAGCGCTTTTAGATCCCTCCTGGTAGAAAAAAAGAGGAATTCCTCCATGTAATTCTAAGGAATGTAACTGATAGGATGGAACTACAGAATAACATTTCAAATTTATCTAGGCATCTCAACATAACCTAAATGAAGGGATAGCTTAAAAATTTCAGGCCTCAATTTTTCAAGCAGATGGCAAAGAAGGTGATTTATCAAGAGTACTATACATATTCTTAGCTATTCAGCAGTACGACTCAATTCATACACTCACACATTATAAGTTAGCGCTGTAGCATATTGGGAATCCTTGCTTAATATTGATTTACTCACGCTCTCATAAGAGCCAAAGCAGTTTTCCAGACCAACAGACAAAATATGCTAGAACATACACATGAATTCTGAAAGAGTTCTAGAAATCTGTTCTTTTCAATGGAAGTGATTCTGAGCACAGGTCTCTAGTCCTAACACTCCTTTAAATATACTTTGTTATTTTATAGGTCCCCTTTCTTCATCATTTCCAGGTAGCAGTTAACTCATTATAATAAGGTTAAACCCACAAATTCCAATGGAAGTTTCCCGCAGAAATTCAGGCACCTATCATTTCTGGTTTATAAACTTACAGCCCAAAACTAACCAGGCTCCACGTCCTGCAATGTTACTGCTTCCAGATGGGAAAAGCAGCACATGTTCAGCTCCATCCCTAACACACACTTGACCCTTGTCTAACTGGGACCACGGTTTCCATGGCCAGAGCAAATGGCAACAGAGCACAAGTACTTCTGCCTGATTACACTTAATAGTTTTAACCAAAGAGAAATTATTGTTCAATTAGCATGGAAGTCGTAAGACCTTTTTATACAAAGCAACAGTGAGAATCTAAGCGTATAAATAAATCTAGGTATCATTCTTCTCCTAATGTTTTAGCAGGTAGTCCCACTCCACTAGAAAAATACTTTCAGATACTTTGGCCGTTGCTTTTAACACGTGCTTTGCATGATGGATACTGGTTATGGGCTCTATTTTTTTTTTCCCTACTGATGATAACAATAGTAGGTCTAACATTAAGATTTTTGTACACATTTTCACATACAATTAAAGCATCTCTGATGAGCACAGAATCACCAACCAGAGCTAGACAGTAATCACATGTACTTACATTTGCACAAGTATTTTGACAATGAACTTTCAGAAACCCACAGAACTTAATTCACACCAGAACCTCGATAGACCTTGCCTATCCTACAAGCTTTGAATTCCCTGATCTTGTGACATGAAGTTCAAAGTAGTATTTGATGCTTTGAAGTCCATGCCCCCAGGGTATTTTGTGCAGTAGCATCAGTATTAGTGGTAAAATAGCTAGTAAAACTGACAAAACCGATAATATTACACAGCCATCTGCCATATGGGGGATAAATCTGGTTTAGCAAACATTTCCAGAAGAAAGGTCTTAGTTTAAAGATCATGAAAAATATGTACAGGTTCCTTTTGGCCTGTAGTGTGACTTTTAAAGAGAAGTTAAAAAATAAAGCCATTAAACTTAGAAAAATAAAAGGGGATATTTCATCAGGCAGCATGACAAATTACAACAATTCAGCTACATTAATGATATGGCCCCCAAAATTAAAGACAAACCCTGATGAGTTATGAACTACGCAGGAAATACAGGTTCAAGGTCTAGGTGTCCCTTACACTTTTTATCAAGGTTACATACTAGAAAATGGTCATCAGGGTTAACTATTTAAACTAAGAATAGATCAATACCTAAGTACTCTAAGTATAATCTTACTACTTTCCTACTTTGTTTCCTTTCTAATCATAGTCACATGTAGGCTTTCTGATCTCATTCTAAATAAACAGTCTCTCATTGTGGCACTCGAGTTTTGAACAACAGAAAAAAACTCTTCAGTACAGAAACTTGAAAAGCTCACCTACCCCCAGATCTTCAGATGTACGGGGAGGGGGAAAATTATCACACGCTAGCAGGAAGCGACTGATAGTCAAAGAAACTCTTTTTCACAACGAATCATAGGCCAGCCACATGCAAGATTTATTCATGACAAAGGAAGAGCTTCCAGTACACCCAAACAGAAATAAGTTAACAAAGATCCCTACAACCAACACCTCTCCTGAAGAACAGAAAGCTCTTTTGAGCTTTCCAGATAGAAGACACTATCTGCATATTTCAGATGGTCAGACACAGATTACTTCATTTCAGATGGCGATTAAACTCAACGTTCAGTTTTAGGCACACCTACAAAACTTCAGCCTTCAAAACACAGAACACACTGTGGGCTTTTACATTGCTTGACTGCTATCACGAAACAAAATCTCCTCCAGCTCTGGGAACTATAGCAATGTATCAGCTAGCAGCGATATCAATGTACCCTGCTCATTTTTACTCATTAGGAGTCTTTTATGCTCCAACAACAGTTTCCAGAAGAACTTCAGTCCACTACCTTTCCAAGGACATGTATTTCCAGAAGCATCAAAGTGCCCCAGACATAAAAACGTTTTAAGAACTCAGCAATGTATTTCCAGGCCTTTCAAATCCTTTAACCTAAGAAATCACTTATAACCAGACAGCACGTTTAACCAGTAGTCTCTATGACATTTTCTTTTCAATAGAAAGAATTGATAAGCATATTTTTATAAGCACAGCAGTATGCTCTATCTACTAGATTCATATTCAATTGTCTTCCTTATTTCATTGTCTCTTCAAAAGCACTTCAAATAAATAAAGTAACTCAATTTGCAAGTGCAATGTAAAAATGGTTACACAGAAAACAATGGCAAGATTAGTCCAGGTTGAAGCAAAACTCCTCCTGCAGCTCTACTGTAAATAAACGTTTCAAATATATGCCTTTATTGCCAATACTGAAAGGTCAGTAAGAATGCACAATGCCAAGATTGGAGAGAAGTATCTTGCTAGAAGAATATTTCCATGTCGTTTAGACTGTTGTACATTAACATCACAAAATGAAGAGCATTCATTAGCATATGTTATCCTCAGTTCCATTTTAAGCCAGTATGGCAATCCTGACATTGAGTTCTAGTCTGCTAATGATGAGAATCTCGAAAGTTATACGGCAAGACAGCATTTCCATTCACCAGCTGCATAAATCTCACTGCCTAGACACGTCCCAGAAAGGAGACTCGAGTATAGTTTGATACTCCTTCTTGAAACATAAGGGGAGCCAAAGAATTTAAAAACATTTGTGGTAAATTGTTTGCACAAAAACAAACAACCCATAAAATATGGGCAAGTTTGTGTATAAACTTGCCTCTGCAAGTCTGTCTTTCATGCCCCCCCAGCAGCACAGCTGCAAGGCGGACTAGAAGACAACCACAACCAACCGCTTGAAAGTGAAGTGTCTGCGGAAGAAAATATAAACTTCAGGAGTAAGTTGAGATCTCATTTTTAACTATCACAGGAATACTGTAGAAATTCTTGAAAGCTCGTGAACTACAGATTCAGTCACTTAGAAATAATAAATGTTACTTACCTAAAAAAAAAGCACTTTTTTCTAATCTTGTATTTAACAGAGCAACTGTGAGCAACATTTTAAGTAGTCTAAGATCATAGGAACACAAAGTGAGCACAGACTCATCTAGATTTTATATACCAAGTTTTGTAATTTCTGCTCATGCAAAAAGCCTAACCAAAACCTTTCCTTGGACTACCTCCAAATGTTCTATTATTTGAAAGTCTCATGTCTGTGGGTAGAAAATATTAAATAATTTGAACACATGCTTTAAATAAGAAGAAATCAGCATGAAATGTATCGCTCTTGCATTACAAACGGCAGATGACAAAAAACATCAGTGCACAAGATATAGCTATAACGTGTTAGGTACTTTCATACACTACTGTAAGATACGAAATCCTGAAAAAAAAACCACTTTAAAAAGAAAACATTGCAGGTTGCTACAGAAATCTTTTCAAACTGTTGCATGAGGTTTCTAAAGTTTGTCCAGGAACATAGGATCTGACAGTCAGGTAAATTTACTTGTCATGTCCCTATGTGCTACTTCAGTTATTTCACTTCTGTATGCTTCAGCTTTTTATCTTTTATCTACTACACACATTTTCTTTAGTATTCAAAAGGATACACTGTTGTTCAAAAAGAAATAGACAATAAGAGAACAACCGGATCAATTGAAAAAGGCCCAGTCTTAAACAGAAAAACACCTGGCCTTGTTAAGCTGTACACAGACATCCAGATTTGAACAGATAAATACATTTGCCTCAGAAAACAAGCTTCCTGGCGCATATTGCACACATTAAACATGTGAACTATTTCATCTCAGAACAGGAAGATGAACATAGCAATTTGAAGCCTTGCACAGGTGAATCTCTTGGTGTCAACAGTCCTAACTTTTCTCATTTAGAAGAATATAATTCCAGTAGATGGCTAGCACTGAGATTCTTAGTCCCAAGACAGCTCCTGAATTACTCAATCTTTTTGATTCATACTTAACCTCACCATGGTATTTTCTTGGTAGTAGCAGAGCATTCCTTCTATTTATAAATTTGCGTCTCTACCACTACTAAAAATTAAACATACATGTACATCTTAGAAGCGGACTGCTTTAAGCAGAAAAGAAATTGCTAAATGAACTACAGGAAAGGAAATTCTTAGGATATCCTTAAACACAGTATTTACTAACAAACCTTATTTTGATTGAGAGAATCATTCCTTAGTCTCTGTTTGTTCTTCTGCAATTTACTGGGCATCATCTTTCCCGTTCTGAAGTCAAAACTGCTGAGATCAACAGTGTTTCCCAGGTATCTTGCCAACTGAGGCTTGCTTCTGAACTTCTTACCACTTGGACTAAAAAGAAGAAAACACTTTAGTATGTTTTGTTGTACAAGAGGATACAACCTTGACTTCTTATAAGGTTTTATACCTTGTTAAAATATCTAAAAAGTTTCCATTATCTTTATTCCATGTGGCATGTTCATTGATGCATTGATTAGTGATGGTATACCTGCCCAGTCTCTGCATATCCACTCCCATCTGCTGCACAGGACTTAATTTATATATCAGGCTGTTGGACGCTAGGATACACTACACCTTGGGAAGCTGGGTTAGCAGTGCAGCTAAACCAAACTCCGGTACAAGAAGTATAAACGTCAGACTGTGGCCAAGTGCGGGACCCTCTCTACACAAACGTAAAGACTGTATGCGAGGTTCAAACCGATGGCTAGCTAAGGCCAACCTAGACTCAACAGCAACCCTTCTCAGCTATCAAACAGCAAGGCATTAAACAGATGCGCAGAACTAGGATTTGAGATGACGCGACATCTCTTAGCTATTCAGTCACTGCGACTGGTGAGCAAAGCCAGATAAGTAACTGAGCAGCAAGCAAGCAAGCAGCAAGCAAGATGATGCAGAACATGAAACAGGTCCAAAGCTGCGATTGTGTATATAGATCCCATCATAAAAAATTAAATCAGTTGTAGGGAAGTTATTAAATCATCTTCATTTGGAATTATGGAATTATTACTACCCCAAAGTTCCAGCTGATGTTTTTGAGTAACATCAGCAAATTTCCAGTATCCTAAGGAACTGGTATGTCCACCAATCTTTACATCACAGAGCTTTCTATCCCCTCATCTCTACTTCATTCTCAAGCATCCAGAACACACACTGTGCACACACTGTCTCCACTAACTCCACTAAATATACATTTAATCCATGCATATTTTCACCGGCCTCACCGCGGCTTCCTGTAGACACCCTCACCAGCCTGCATGCTCCGTGTGCAAGTCATTGCTAATACACAGCTTACTGACAAGAAGCTATAGAGTTTGTTTCACTGTAAGGGACAACATTGCTGCCCCCAGACTTAAAAGCTCGGCAGAAAATCAAGTGTCAAGAACTGCTATATAAAACTCAGACTGCAACACCAGTTTGTGATAGCCCCTCAGTATAGACAGCCGTGAAAATGGCTATATACCCATCATGTGAAGCCAACAGTCTCCTGGCTTAATGCAAATTTCTATCCAATGAAACAGGCCAACTGTCAAAATCTTGACACTACTGAAACCCAAAAGGTTAACTGAGCTCAGAGAGTTTTTCATGCCACTTCCTTTCTTCAGAAAACCACTGAAGATTTTTGTTTTCTTCACTTTTCCAAAGTATTTTTTTTTAAACCTAAAAACACCTTGAGGCAAGAACTTCCCCACAGAAGGGTATGTATTGAATTCTGGGAAAAATAGCTAATTAAGCCAAACACTTTTCAAAGTCATTTAAATTAATCCAGAAATATGGAAGACGTAATTAACAAGAGGTAAAGGGTGGGAGAAAAAGACTTCAGAAAAAGACTTGAGATCACAATCTCAAGCTAACCTCCTCAAGGATGGGTGTGGGAGGAAAAAAGAAAACCCACCACACATACAAACACACACACTCCACCACAAAACTCTTTTCTATTTCCCATAAGCCAAGAATTGAAGCTATGCTATAAGCCAAACTAAATACAACACCAGTTTTATTTTAGATAGTGATTAACACCCTGGCTTGTTAACAGTAAGAAAAATTCTGCACTGAAGGTCAGAGACAGAACAAGTCTTTTGTGGGGCAAGTAAGTTTGCTATTAAAATAATCTGACCCGTTGTCTGTTTTTCCTATTCAGGCACCTGCAAGAGAAGTTCGGGATAAAACCTTGTCAAGAACTGCTGGCTGCGTAGCTAAATGCCCCTGTTTCCTAACAGGGCGTAAGGGCTGAATTTACTGAATAAAGCCTCCTGTTAGGAATTGCTTTCCCAGCTTTCCTAATGAACATAAAACACTGAATGAAAAGGACAAAACAATGACTATAAGCAAACCCTGAAATGGGTGTTAATATTCTCTGTTCCAGACACTTCTTTTTTTATTAAAACCAGTATACACTTGGTCATTTTAGCCCACAGCTAAGTAGCTACTAAAAGAATATAGGAATTTGACATCCTACATCTTCTTCTATTATAACCTAATTTTGGTACCAAAGATGAAACATGCGCTCTTTCATTTTTCCCATATCACCACCTTCTATATTGTTCCACAAGAAGCTAACAGACTGTCATCAAGACCGTACTTCTTTTACTAGCTTTCCTCTTCAGGTTCCTTGCAGAGAAATGCTTCACATATACCACAAAGGAATCCAAAATTCCAGCAGTGAGCAGTTATCAGCCTAGCTTCACTTAAAATTCTTCCTGTAGAACTCTGAAAACAGCTTTCACAAGTAAAAGCAAACTTTATAAATGCATCCAACATTCTTTAATTCTATTATTTACACATCTAACATTTGGGGGGGGTCTTGTTTGTTTGTTTTGTTCAGTAAGCCAAAAGTAAATCAGAGCATATGATCCAATATTCTATATTAGCATCTGCATGGATCATTGCTAGGGCTGGTATTAAAGCTATCTCAATCCATAGCACAAAACCTACCATTTAAGTTAACGGTGAAACTCTTAGCAGGGACAGACTGCAATCCATTAGCAAAATATCTAGTTTTGCCTTAATTTCAGTGTTAACAAGAACTGCATTTTTGTGCCGAGATTAAGAAATACAAATATAGAAATATACAAATTAAAAAATAATCCAAGACCAAAAAAAAGCAACTGAAAATAGGCATTTTTTAACTACAAAATGTTTGACATTCCGTCCCATACCTTTTGCTTCCATGTTTTCCCACAATGGTGTGAAGGATGAGACCTGCTTTATCTGTCCTTGACCTGACATGACAAGAACAAACAAAAAAGGCAGGCAGAGAGGAATCTGTCCACCTTAGCTTTGGTTGCCACTTCAGTCAAGTACTTATTCTGGACTTTTTTAGATTTCACTTACTGCACCATTCATTCTCATCATCCTACTCCTTTTCCAGATGTCGCTGCCTCTGGTCGGCACTCAGTGACCACAGTACCTCCCTGTCTCCGCAGAAGTACGTCACTCCTTTGCACCCCACTACATTCATACTGTTGTCAATGCATCTTTTCCTTCCAACCATCTGCCCTCTCTGACAAAAAGCAGAAATTGTTTTTCTTAGTCCTTCAGTGCATACTCTGCTATTCCTCATTATTTTCATTCTAAATCATGCCCTTATCTTCAAAGTTATCCAATTTCTCCCGATTTTTTTCTGATCCTCACTTGTTCTGATGATGTCCCAGGTATGAAACCTGCTCATGATGCACAGCACACACCACTTGTGCATCCAAGTTATCAGCTATTAATAACTGCTTGGTTCCACGAACATCGTCCACGCAACTCCATTAGTAGCTTACTAAAACCAAGAAGCCCTCGTTTCATCATAACCTACTATTGTCTCCCTTTCACCCCGTACCTGAACCATTTTACAAAACCTGTAGTATTTTCCATTCTCCAGCTTCAATGAAATTCTAAATCTAGTGAATTCTACTGTGAAACTACATTTCATTTGATTTCATTTTCCACAAATGTCTCTATCCTTAATTGTTCTGCATTTCAGAGTTTCAAGAAATTAATATGGTATCAAAATACCAGAGAAAATACATGCCCTGTAAGCCTTCTGGTTCAGCATCATTAGCAGGCAAACTAAACACTCACTGACCTTCCATTCAGTTTTTCAAATGCCGTCCAGACTTGTCATTTGGTCTGTCATGTCAGACCTTCCCACTATTCTAAGAGGGAGATGAATATGTGAGCTGGAAGGATTTGAATAAACTCAAAACTTTATTTCCACTCCACCTGTATTAGTTTTCACATATATTCATTTTTTCACTTCCAGTCCTGTAGTTGTTTCCATTTTCTACTTTGAAAGTGAAGTTGTCAAACTACTAAAGCAACGCCTTGATTTCTGAATCATTCCCAGATTATCTTCAATCTCTAACCTGCTCCTGCTGCAAAGCTTTCTCTTACCTGCAGAGAAAGCTCCATGAGGTAAAAGTCAAATAAAAAGCCTATTTGCAGAGGCTTTATTTGAACATCTATTAAATAATTAGTAGGCACTAATGGAAAAGAGTAAGGTTATAGAATGTAAGCAAACCAGTATATCTGCATAAAAGCCTGCTACTTACACATCTTGGTTGAAACTAAGAAACAGCATGCTGGTGTTTTTTTTTCTTCCCCTAAAGGTGTTAAAACCAAGTTTAAGTTCAAATTTAGTTTTGAGTAGAAAAGAAAGGTGGAAGGAGAGGTAAGAAGCTTTCTTCTCTCTGAGAAGGCACTCTGGATGATACTCTAGAGATCCCTTAGAAGTCAAAATGAAAGGGACATTGAAGAAAGCTCAGACTTTGAAGTCACACTTGCTGCAGAAGATTCTTAAAATGCATTGCTCCGAGTTCACGTACTCTAAAATTTCAACTGCTACAAAAGTCTGAAGCATGGACAACTCCATTATTTTGTGGAAACTTTACACAGATATGGGAGAAACCAGTAAAATTTGCCCTCATCTACATGTTCTGGACATTAATTAATTTTACACTGACTTGTTTCATGCAACAAGAAGCAAGTGAAAGCGTTCTTTCAGGGTGCTGTGACATCGCGGAGCCTCTGGTCTGCAATTTACTAAACTGCAGCGTGACCCAACATTGAGACAATTTAGAATTGCAAGATCAACGTGGGATTACACAGGAATCTCTCCACATAGAATTTCAACAATAGATTGTTGTAAAACTGTTATTTTTATAAACAGTAACTAAAAGAGTTATAAATATTTAGTCTTACCTAAAGACAGCTAAATTTCTATAGCTTCTTTAAAAATTTGTTAACTTCAATTAGAAGTTTCTGGCTTTTTTTTCCAAAAAGAAATGTTATATTTAGTTCTACCATAGTTGACATGCATATCAGTACTTAAATTTTATCCTGTCAA